CTTGATTATGTCATTAATTTCTCTTCTCATGACCAGTAGATGTTATTCTTTCCATAATTGATGGCGGTTTCCTTTAAATTTTTATATGGAGTAGTGTAGAATGTCAACATCTTGATTATGTCATTAATTTCTCTTCTCATGACCAGTAGATGTTATCGCTCTTTCCATAATTGATGGCGGTTTCCTTCCTAACTTTTTTATATGGAGTAGTGTAGAATGTCAACATCTGGATTATGTCATTAATTTCTCTTCTCATGACCAGTAGCTGTTATCGCTCTTTCCATAATTGATCGGTTTCCTTCCTAACTTTTTATATGGAGTAGTGTAGAATGTCAACATCTTGATTATGTCATTAATTTCTCTTCTCATGACCAGTAGATGTTATCGCTCTTTCCATAATTGATGGCGGTTTCCTTCCTAACTTTTTATATGGAGTAGTGTAGAATGTCAACATCTTGATTATGTCATTAATTTCTCTTCTCATGACCAGTAGATGTTATCGCTCTTTCCATAATTGATGGCGGTTTCCTTCCTAACTTTTTATATGGAGTAGTGTAGAATGTCAACATCTTGATTATGTCATTAATTTCTCTTCTCATGACCAGTAGATGTTATCGCTCTTTCCATAATTGATGGCGGTTTCCTTCCTAACTTTTTATATGGAGTAGTGTAGAATGTCAACATCTGGATAATATCATTAATTTTTCTTCTCATGACCAGTAGCTGTTATCGCTCTTTCCTAACTTTTTTATCGGTTTCTTCTAACTTTTTATATGGACTTTTTAGTGTAGAAGTCAACATCTTGATTATCATTAATTTTTCTTCTCATGACCAGTAGATGTTATCGCTCTTTCCATAATTGATGGCGGTTTCCTTCCTAACTTTTTTTTATGGATCTTGATTAGTGTAGAATGTCAACATCTATATGGATAATATCATTAATTTTTCTTCTCATGACCAGTAGCTGTTATCGTCTTTCCATAATTGATGGCGGTTTCTTCCCTTTTATATGGGTAGTGTAGAATGTGATCTTGATTATGTCATTTCTTCTTGACCAGTAGATGTTATTTTATAATGGCGGTTTCCTTCCTAACTTTTTTATATGGAGTAGTGTAGAATGTCAACATCTTGATTATGTCATTAATTCTCTTCTCAGGACCAGTAGATGTTATCGCTCTTTCCATAATTGATGGCGGTTTCCTTCCTAACTTTTTATATGGAGTAGTGTAGAATGTCAACATCTTGATTATAGATCATTAATTTCTCTTCTCATGACCAGTAGATGTTATCGCTCTTTCCATAATTGATGGCGGTTTCCTTCCTAACTTTTTATATGGAGTAGTGTAGAATGTCAACATCTTGATTATGTCATTAATTTCTCTTCTCATGACCAGTAGATGTTATCGCTCTTTCCATAATTGATGGCGGTTTCCTTCCTAACTTTTTATATGGAGTAGTGTAGAATGTCAACATCTTGATTATGTCATTAATTTCTCTTCTCATGACCAGTAGATGTTATCGCTCTTTCCATAATTGATGGCGGTTTCCTTCCTAACTTTTTTATATGGAGTAGTGTAGAATGTCAACATCTTGATTATGTCATTAATTTCTCTTCTCATGACCAGTAGATGTTATCGCTCTTTCCATAATTGATGGCGGTTTCCTTCCTAACTTTTTATATGGAGTAGTGTAGAATGTCAACATCTTGATTATGTCATTAATTTCTCTTCTCATGACCAGTAGATGTTATCGCTCTTTCCATAATTGATGGCGGTTTCCTTCCTAACTTTTTATATGGAGTAGTGTAGAATGTCAACATCTTGATTATGTCATTAATTTCTCTTCTCATGACCAGTAGATGTTATCGCTCTTTCCATAATTGATGGCGGTTTCCTTCCTAACTTTTATATGGAGTAGTGTAGAATGTCAACATCTTGATTATGTCATTAATTTCTCTTCTCATGACCAGTAGATGTTATCGCTCTTTCCATAATTGATGGCGGTTTCCTTCCTAACTTTTTATATGGAGTAGTGTAGAATGTCAACATCTTGATTGTGTCATTAATTTCTCTTCTCATGACCAGTAGATGTTATCGCTCTTTCCATAATTGATGGCGGTTTCCTTCCTAACTTTTTATATGGGTAGTGTAGAATGTCAACATCTTGATTATGTCATTAATTTCTCTTCTCATGACCAGTAGATGTTATCGCTCTTTCCATAATTGATGGCGGTTTCCTTCCTAACTTTTTATATGGGTAGTGTAGAATGTCAACATCTTGATTATGTCATTAATTTCTCTTCTCATGACCAGTAGATGTTATCGCTCTTTCCATAATTGATGGCGGTTTCCTTCCTAACTTTTTATATGGAGTAGTGTAGAATGTCAACATCTTGATTATGTCATTAATTTCTCTTCTCATGACCAGTAGATGTTATCGCTCTTTCCATAATTGATGGCGGTTTCCTTCCTAACTTTTTTATATGGAGTAGTGTAGAATGTCAACATCTTGATTATGTCATTAATTTCTCTTCTCATGACCAGTAGATGTTATCGCTCTTTCCATAATTGATGGCGGTTTCCTTCCTAACTTTTTATATGGAGTAGTGTAGAATGTCAACATCTGGATTGTATCATTAATTTCTCTTCTCATGACCAGTAGATGTTATCGCTCTTTCCATAATTGATGGCGGTTTCCTTCCTAACTTTTTATATGGAGTAGTGTAGAATGTCAACATCTTGATTATGTCATTAATTTCTCTTCTCATGACCAGTAGATGTTATCGCTCTTTCCATAATTGATGGCGGTTTCCTTCCTAACTTTTTATATGGAGTAGTGTAGAATGTCAACATCTTGATTATGTCATTAATTTCTCTTCTCATGACCAGTAGATGTTATCGCTCTTTCCATGATTGATGGCGGTTTCCTTCCTAACTTTTTATATGGAGTAGTGTAGAATGTCAACATCTTGATTATGTCATTAATTTCTCTACATGTGCTATCCATTTTAGTTGTTTCTGTTATCGGTAGTACTCAAGTGACATGGTTTCTGTTATTTGGTCCAGTTCTTTGATTGCGAGTGTGTAGCACCAGTCCACAAGATTCGAAGAAGTTAGTATTTGCCAAGACCCCCAGATTTCACTCTCTTAGTCATTTTTAACCATTTATCTTCGAAAGCGGTTGCATACAGCTGAGAGTTTAGATATTTCTGAACTGTTTTGTGACTATGTATGGCATCCATATGAAAGTTTCGGTCTGACGAAGCTATTTAAAAAGATGACTTTTCAGGTTAATGTTTTGGTTTTGTAGCAATTTGCGGTGTTGGGTGAAACTATCCCTGGCGCATTTTTTGTTCAATTTCAGATCCTGGATTTTTATGATGGATTCAGAGTACATGCCGTCACTGCCTTCATTCTAATTTCAGTTGTCCAGGATAAGACGATAAACTATATCCGGGTCCTCGGTAAGACGATAAATTACATCCGTGTTCTGAGTAAGACGATAAACTACATCCGCGCCCTCGGTAAGACGATAAACTGCATCCACGTCCTCGGTAAGACGATAAACTACGTCCAACAATGAGGCCTTTGATCAGGAGGTTTTGAGAAGCATGGAACAACTTCTTAATTGCTGGTGTTCCTAGGTCCACCCTAACCCACGGTGGTAGCACCTGTTAGGGTCCCAGCTATGGGAAAATAGTTAACCCTCAAACTGGGGTTAAAACACTATGAATGTAAAAAAATAGGTTTTAATATCAGCAATAAAGTTTTTGAGGAAAATTTTTTACCAACAATGCATTACCAGCAAATAAATATTACCAGCAATACATTTTTGTAAATAATTATTAACAGCAATACATTATTACCAGCAATACATTTTTGAAGAAAAAATATTACCAGCAATAAAGATCTTGTTGGCATTAAAAAAAATCCATTGATATGCTGTAAAACAAACCAAACCAAACCAATTTCTGTTCGCGCTGCCTATTTTATGTTCAGTTTCAGATCTTGAATTTTTATGATGGATTCAGAGTACATGTCGTCATTCCAATTTCAGTTCATAGCTTCTGTTTTGGAAAGGTTTATCTAGAGTCGTATTTCTTGGATCACTTGGTAAAGGATGTTGATTTTCTATTCAACATCATCCTCATCCCAAATATGAATAACTATGTCATCAGCATAGACCCCCTCCCAATCATGATGATGAATACATTGGCATCGGGAGGGAAAGGTTGTCTTCTATTAATAGACTGGGGCTCTCATTTACTCCTTGTCGTACTACTGATGAAATATTTCCGTACCTTGGCAATGGTTTGAATCTCGATATGGTTGAAGAGGTGGGGCTCTTTAGCGTCGTTAGAAAGTATATTTTAGTTGTCGGGCCAGCCGTAAAATCTTTCTTGCTACTGAAGCAGCGGCAATATCAAGTTGGTGAGGTTATGGCCCTATTTTCCACAGGCAAACTGTACTTTTCTTTATAATAAAAAAAGCGATGTTATCATTTTAGATGTTGCTGTATAAGGTAGGTAAGACTGGAATGGGTGTACGAGTAGTATACCAATCATCAGTGCGAAAACTGAAATCTGCGAACCGACTTAAAAATTCGGACTGGTCTGTTGTGTTCAATGTCGCACGAGTGACTTTTAGGAAAGACGTAAATGAATTCCTTCTCCCCGATGTTTTGGGTTAAATAGTAAGATACATTGAACTCTTTTTCGTTTGGGTAGCCACCAATCTAAGAGAAAGACAATACTGAATTCAGAACCTTTGAGAATGCAACGGGAAATCATTTCATTATATTTCCCAAGAAGTTATAGTAATTAACAGAAACGGAATATATATATATATATATATATATATATATATATATATGTGTGTGTGTGTGTGTGTGTGTGTGAGTGAGAGGGAGAGAGAGAGAGACCACGGGAATAAGAAATTCATGCACTATCGACTGAGGTAGCCCTCATGTTCTTAAACCAGATATAAATAAATATGATCAGACTAAGATAGATAGATAAGATAGATAGATAGATAGATAGAGATAGATAGATAGATAATGAATAGACTAGGATAGATAGGAACAAACTGAGATAGATAGATAGATAGATAGATAGATAGATAGATAGATCTGAATAGTCTGAGATAGATTGAGGTATCACTCAAGATTCTTAAACTAGATATGAATATGAACAGATTGATATAGATAGATTTTAATAATAGCTAGATATGAACAGACTGAAACAGATACATAGGCATTATTACAATACATATATATATATATATATATATATATATAATTTTTGTATTGTTCTAATCTCATTCGTTATTTAAACGTTACTCACACTGAGAACGGTGCCAGTGCACTTGGCAGTGACTTGCGCAGAAACGTCCTCTTTTTTTATGTTCTTTCATCTTGTAAATGCAACCAAAACTAGAACATAGGAAATCAAGCAAAATATCATATCATGCCATATGCTTTCGTCCCAATAACATTAAAAAATTAAATTTATGCAGAATAATTAGAATTTTAAATTCTTTCTCTGGTGTCATTATTTGGCACTTTAACAAAGCAATGGACAATTTCCATGTGGACTCTGTAAAGTTCAGGAAATACCTACGGATTTATAACAATTAATATCGTTAACAATAACCATTAGCCGAAGATCAAACCTAACCTTAAATCTATCTCTTTATTCCACGATCTCTCTATTTCTTTACATTTTTATGCTTGGGCACTTCGTAATACCATATCTTTGTTGATGCTTTACTATAAGAAGAATTATTATTATTAATAATAATACAACTTAATATTATATATTTTAATTAGCTATTTTTTTTACAATGAGGTTCACCCTGTACAAGGCCTGGGAAGCACTCAAGTTAGAGAGTTACAGAGGTAATACACACAGTTTATGAAGATAGGTGGGGAAGATAACGATTAACCCAAAGACTTGAACAGATTAAGATTGTTGTGATCGGGGAAGCATCCTCGTGGGAGTCGGTTCTACAGAGCAGTGATTCACGGGAAGAAGCTGTTCGAGTGGATGTTATTTCCCGCCAATGGAATACGGTGGGAATGAGAATAGTTTGTTACAATATGCGTAGCATGGCGGGTCCTTGCCGTGAAGGTTAGAATTGGTGGAACTAAGGAATGTAGTTCGTTTGAGCACTTTCCATGGATAGAGCAGTGAGATTCTTGCTACATCTGTGAGAGAAGGGTTGTAGGATGGAAAGAATTTTGGCATGAACTTTGTTTATCTCGGAAATGGACCAATTAATGATATTGAAGTTGAATGTGATTACAGGCATAGCTAGTATGTTTAGGGCGTCAATTTTATTTCAGGCATTCGAATCTGTTTTCAAAATCGCTCTTTCTCTGCGATTGTCACTCCTTTTCGTAATTTTTATCTCAATTGCGAGTGCTTAATTCTCTCTCGTTTTAAAATGCATAAATACTTATAATCCCCCATCCATCTTCTAATTTCTTTTACTTCAGTAACTCTATTTAAGGTGATATTGTATCTCTTTGATAATTTTCCTTGAAAAATGTATCCTTGGCACATTTGTGAAACTAAAATTCTATTTGATGTCCTTAGTAAATTTGTTTTACTGTTTGAAGAATTTTAAGTTGATTATCATATCTTTGCAAAACCTTCCAGCTCATTCATATAGAGAAGATGGTTCACAGTCTTTTCATTGACTTTATAGCTACAATTTTTCTTTTAGGGACCTTTTTAGGGGAATCAGCGCCAAACAAAACAATTAGATGGAAGGTGGCAAAACACGAAGAAAACATTATTAGAAGGAATGTGGCAAAACATGAAGAAAACATTATTAGAAGGAATGTGGCAAAACACGAAGAAAACATTATTAGAAGGAATGTGGCAAAACACGAAGAAAACATTATTAGAAGAAATGTGGCAAAACACGAAGAAAACATTATTAGATGGAAGGTGGCAAAACACGAAGAAAACATTATTAGAAGGAATGTGGCAAAACACGAAGAAAACATTATTAGAAGGAATGTGGCAAAACACGAAGAAAACATTATTAGGAGGAATGTGGCAAAACACGAAGAAAAGATTATTAGAAGGAATGTGGCAAAACACGAAGAAAAGATTATTAGAAGGAATGTGGCAAAACATGAAGAAAACATTATTAGAAGGAATGTGGCAAAACACGAAGAAAACATTATTAGAAGGAATGTGGCAAAACATGAAGAAAACATTATTAGAAGGAATGTGGCAAAACATGAAGAAAACATTATTAGAAGGAATGTGGCAAAACACGAAGTAAACATTATTAGAAGGAATGTGGCAAAACACGAAGAAAACATTATTAGAAGGAATGTGGCAAAACACGAAGAAAACATTATTAGAAGGAATGTGGCAAAACACAAAGAAAACATTATTAGAAGGAATGTGGCAAAACTCGAAGAAAACATTATTAGAAGAAATGTGGCAAAACACGAAGAAAACATTATTAGATGGAAGGTGGCAAAACACGAAGAAAACATTATTAGATGGAAGGTGGCAAAACACGAAGAAAAGATTATTAGAAGGAATGTGGCAAAACACGAAGAAAACATTATTAGAAGAAAACTGGCAAAAAATTCGTCACCCGAGCATAGAATGCGAGGAATGGGAAGCTGTTGCCAACATATAACAGCAGTATTCCATTTTAGGCCTGATCTGGCTCTTGTAATGGTAGGGGATATCATGAAGAGCGAGGTACTCCCTGGAGCGATACAAGAAACCGACCATTTTCTCGGTATCTTTAGCAATGGATCGTATGTACGAGTTTCATTTGAGATTTGGGATGAGTTTAAGGCCAAAATTCGCTGAATGCACTTGGTCTACCCGTGAGAACATCCATTTATCATGACTGGTGATAGTTCAGGATCCAATCGGCGATGATGAGATATAACTAGTTTGGTTTTCGAGGCATTGAATGTAACTAACCAATTTTTCACGCCACTGAGATGTTAGAGCTGGATCAGAGAAGAGATCAGCTGTCAATCTCTGATCAACACGAAGTTGGAGGTGTATCATCAGCATATATTCACAAATGAGTGTACACTTAGGCAGATCATTTATGTAAGTTAAAAAGAGGGCTGGTTCGTAAAGTGACCCCTATTTTAATTTATTTGGCTTAATAATGCCACTACTCAGGGCACTGATAGACCATTTGAAATAAGATAAGAGCGACTAAGTTTTTAGGTAAATAGAAACTACATGGAAACTTATAACAAGAAAGAGTTACCTGAAATTTCTGGGATATGATACCTGAAATTTCTAATAAGAAAAGACAGCTTGGAAAATTTAATTCTTATAAGAGAAAGTGAAAGCAAGAGAAACATGATGAAACTGAATAATATACTTAACAAGTAACAGAACAGGTACAAAAAAAAAGATTTTCTTGAAGTTTGTCACGTCTGTGACAAAAGAAATAAGATAAAGAAGAGTAAAGAGAACATAAGGAAGACTAAGTTTTATAGTAAACAAAAAAAAATGCGGTTTTGTTATAATTTTAGTGATTATCGTCAGTGGCTAAAAAAGTAAACAAAAATCCATAAAGGCTCACCAGCAAGAAGTTAGAAATACTTCAAAATAACTTCAAAGTAGCTGTTTTTTTTTTTTTTGTTTGTTTTTTTTTTCACGGGGTATAGTTTACTTGTCAGGTCAGCAAATGGTAATAAATGGATGACTCTGAAGCGGATTTATACAACAACTGACTTCGCCAACGAACTCGCTTAATTTTGGCGCCAACCAACGAATACGAATGCGCGGATGAAAGAAAACCACTTTGTAAGTTTATCTAACCACATCAAAGAGTTCTTAGAAGTCTTTTATCTAAATAACCCAGAAATCGGAGAAGCTTCTTTCATAAAAAAAGATAAATAGATTCTCTTAACAAATTTACGAAACATACGAAGATGGGGAGAGTCTTGATCGCCTGAAAGAACATGACACATAAAAGAAAATAACTATAATTGTCATATTAGACCGAGGTATACAATTGTTTGAAATTAATATATTTCTTCGCTAAAGACGGTGGAAAAAATGGCCGGCACTTTATACCGATCAAGAAGGAACTTGACTCCACTTTCTAAGCTCTATCTCTACAAGAGTCACATTAGAGACTAAAAATGAAGTATTGCTACCATAACCGGGACGGAGCTGTCCAAATCACTCTTTCCAGTCATGTCAAAGTTCAAAAACATTTGCGCGGACATGTAGGCGATGAATTATTTACCCCCCCTACTAACCCTCTCACGCAACGCAGCGTCACGAGCGTCTCGCTACTCTATCACTATTTCCATGGAAAATATTCTGACAATCTATAATGCCTTCGTTCCACCAGTTCAGACCTTTACATCTAAACACAGCAATGCCATGTACATTTGGGGGAATCAGTCTCACCCCTTCCGTATTTCACTGGAAAGATGATATTTCCACTCGGACAGCTTCTACCAAAAAGTTGTTACTTTATGGGGTACCAGGTGCTTCCTTAAACATTATACTCTTAACAACTTCAAGTCTAGGGTTAACTATCGTATGTAACATCATAATTTGCACTTACTTCCCTATCATCCGTTCACACAACAACCCTCTACCTTGAGTGGCTTTTGGGCATTGTATTGGATGAACATCTAGAAACCGTGTGCTTATCAGTATAACACTGTGTATCCCTCACCAGAACATTTGTGTCGAGTTTGTAAGTTCATTTCCTCAGCACGAAGGAAATTATTTTCAGTCGGGAATTTGTAATCAATCACCGTCTAAACGCTGACGTCATTCAGAAGAGGTCTTATAACTTCACCCCTTTTCCTCATATGGTTTAATAGGCTTGATTCAACCTTGAACAATTCCGCAGACAACGAGGGACTCAGACAGGTAGAATTTGACAGGCGAACAGTGTTCTCCCCGGGTTTTCTTTTAATTAAAATTTCGTGGGAGTCATTTTGTAAGATGGCCGTCGCCAGCACCGATAATAACCATTATTATCATCATCGTTGTCGTCTGCAGTATTATATTTTCCAAAGTTTCTACTACGGTGGTCGTCCTGACCGCACTATTGTCTCTGCATTATAAAACCCACATGGAATCAGGAATCAGCCTTATCCGTTTATTTGTAGGATAATCCTTTGATTCAAAACGCTAACCCGACCCCACAATATCAACCGCCCTTTCCACATGAACATCTTCGTTTTCCAACCAGCCTCTCACCGCAATCACTCTGACTTCCATCACCCATTACCGTCAGTGAGAAGAGGGGAAGCAGTCCGAACATTCATCGTGTCTATTTTAACTTTCCACAACAACGAACACAGCTAGGCGTGCCTCGCAACGGCATCGCTGAGACTTTCACCCACATCCCGTTTGCTATAGTAACTGCCCCAACCACTCCTGTTCCGTCTCGAAGGCTATCCTCATCAACACCCTCTCGCTCACCGCCGCTGTTTTTAAGCATCATCCCCCAACCTTCACCGCGACTATAAACATGACAATAATCATCATTAACAGTAATATCACTTTTTACCATAACGATGACAAGCCTTACATCACAGAGATCATTACAACCAATCTTTATAATCAGAAAGGTTTCTATTGGCGCACTTCGATACGGTGTAATGGTTAGTAAGCTTGTCTCACTAAATCAATTACGACTGCTTAGTGAGTTCGATCCTCACTGTGTGTCCCATACTTTCGGCCTTGTGCTTAGAAAATTACCATATCTGGGCACCTCGACTGAGCTAAATCAATTACGACTGCTTAGTGAGTTCGATCCTCACTGTGTGTCCCATACTTTCGGCCTTGTGCTTAGAAAATTACCATATCTGGGCACCTCGACGTAGTGTAATGGTTAGCAAGCTTGTCTCGCTAAATCAATTACAACTGCTTAGTGAGTTCGATCCTCACTGTGTCTCCCATAGAAAATTACCATATCTGGGCACCTCGACGTAGTGTAATGGTTAGCAAACTTGTCTCGCTAAATCAAAATGCTTAGTGAGTTCGAACTGTGTTACGACTTTCGGCCTTGTGTGATCTCGATCCTCGACGTGTGTAATGTCCCGACTGCTTAGTGATCTCGATCCTCACTGTGTGTCCCATACTTTCGGCCTTGTGCTTAGAAAATTATCATATCTGGGCACCTCGACGTAGTGTAATGGGTTTGTCCTCAATTACAAGTGCTTAGTGAGTTCGATCCTCACTGTGTGTTAGCAAGTTTTTGTGCTTAGAAAATTACCATATCTGGGCACCTCGACGTAGTGTAATGATTAGCAAGTTTTTCGCGCTAGTTCAATTACTTAGTAGTGAATTCAATTCTCACTGAGTGCCCCATAATGTCGGTCGTGCCACATCTAAGCTACGCTAAAAAAATCTTGGACACTTCGACGTGGTGTAATGGTTAGGAAATTTGTCGTGCTAGTTCAATTCCGACTGAGAAGTGAGTTGGATCCTTACTTGTGCGCTATACATTCGACCTTGTGCCACATCTTAGATACACTTGAAAAACCACCATATCGATTACTATAGTTGTTTTATCACTCACCATCACCATCACTATAAACGCAGCAGCCATCACCCCCTCTAAAATTTAAAGTATGACACGACAACCACCGCTGCTATCATGGACCCTCATACTGTTAATAATTTTGTACCTATAACCGCCTTTAACGCCATTTTCTTAGCTACCACATTTTTTTTACTATTTCTTACCTAATACAGGGCCCAAGGTTCACTTAAGGTAGAGGGGTACTAATTAGGAGAAAAATGGGAGTGGTTTGATTTGCTTTGTTTTATGTCATATCAATCTCAATGGGTTATTTAATGCCGACAAAATTTTTATTGCTGGTAATATATATATATATATATATATATATATATATATATAATAAAGGCTTAAACACTGATATTCCATGGTCATAATTTATTCCATTGGAATCGTAAATACGATCCAATACTGATGAATTGGATCGTATTTACGATTCCAATGGAATAAATTATGACCATGGAATATTAGTGTTTAAGCCTTTTTATTATATCCTTACTCTGTCCTGGACATTGAGTTCTACCTGGATTCTATCCTCTTGGAATTTTTATTCTAAAAATATACATGTATGGGTATTTATATATTTTGCATATGTATGTATATTTACCACTAATATTATCTATCTATCTATCTATCTATCTATCTATCTATCTATCTATCTATCTATAGATAGATAGATAGATAGATAGATAGATAGATAGATAGATATATTTCAAATATGTATTTTTGGCAATATCTTTTTTTTTTTTTTTTAAATGTATTGCTTGTAATATCTTTTTTTTCATAATTTTTTTTACAAAGTATTTCTGGTATTCAACCCTATCTTTACACTTTCACAGTGCTTTGACCCCAGTTTACCCATAGCTGGGAACCTACCAAGAGCTACCACCCCGGGTCATGGTGGACCTGGGAACACCATCAATTAAGAGTTGGTTCCACGCTCCTCAAAACCTCCTGATCAGAGGCCTTGCTTTTGGACGTAATTCATCGTCTTACCCAGGACGCAGATGTAGTTTATCGTCATACCCAGGACGGAAAACTGCGTGGGGGTGGTTACAAAGGCTGCTCGGAGGTTAGCTGACATACACTACTGCAGGACTATAGCACTAAGGAAATACCTGTAGGGCATTAGCTGTAACTGGGTCGGGGGTTACGCATCTTATTGAGTGCTATATTAAAATTTTAACTTATTTGAATTCAAAATGACATATACAGTCCAAACTATTAATCCGCTCCAAACAACTACCGGATTATAGAAAATGTCAGATGAGAGAAATAAACCCTAAAAGAAAAAATGTAAACATAGTCTTGCCAGATCATTTCACATATATATTGCTATGTTACCAAAAGTAGAACAATGTATAAAACAGGAAATACTGTAAGGCAATCAATTAATGCTTCCAAACAAGATTTTTATTTTTTCATGCAATGTGAAGACTAAAAAAAAAAAGCCTAAAAACAAAAAATAATACACGGTGGGTGCGGCAGAAATACCTTCCACATATACCAGCAACAAATATCTCCCAGATAATAATACGACATTGGTGGCAATAGTGTCTTCATGTTGGTAATGTCTTACCATTATGTGGGATGTACTTCGGTAGTGGCTTGTATATGTGGGAGGCATTTCTGCCTCGCCCTCTATTTACTTACTATCCTAAATCGGTAAATATACAGCTATATATAAGAAATGAGCAAAACCGTATCACTAAAACACTCTGCTGCTGTCGGCTGCTGTGGAAAGTTGCAAAGAACGTGTGACGCTGCCATCATAGCCGCTCAATGGCATAATGGCGGCTGATTAATTAAAAAAAAAAAACGTTCCGGACCATGAGAGGTGCCAGGACCACGTAGTACCGGATTAAAGAGGTCGAACTTTACTTAATCCAGAAGAAAGATTCACTATAGCAGAATACCAAGAATTAATGGATTTATTTTTAATCCGATAGTTTAATTACTTCGAATGTTTTTATTGGTGGATAAACATATTTGAAATTAACGCCCCTGTTTTAGTATTATTTCAGTCTATCGGCCTGTACATTAGAGAAAATTTCGCTGTTAAGATTTCTCGAATGCGTAGACCGATAGACGTAATATGCGTTGTTTAAAATTAAAAAAAATGGGGCGTCTATTTCAAATATGATTGATTTTTTTACAGCTTATTATTTACCCTTTATTTAAAGTTATATATAAGTTTCATTAAAAACGACTGACTTGGTACTGAAATTAATTTTGATTGTGGTCGGATAAGTGTCTTCTTTTCCGTACTTAAAGTGTGTAAAAACTGTCTAAATGGTCAATATATCCGAGCGCTTTCGGCTATTCAATTTGCCATTATCAAGGATGTTTTTAATTGAATATGTATATTTTTTATATATAAGTATCTGTAGTGATGAGTGTTTTTTTTTTAAATTTTATAAACACAGTCAGCGCATCCTTGATAATGGCTGATAGAATTGCCGAGAGCGCTCGATTATATAGAGCATTTGGATAGTTTTTGCACGCTTTTTGTGCAGAACGAAAAAGAAAACACTTATACGAACACAATGAAAATAAAGCGTAATTGCAGTACCTTGTCGAACGTCTTTAATGAAACATGTATAAAAGAGGAAATGCTGCTAAAATACGATGTTATCTACGAGGCCCGTTGGTACAGTTGGTATGACGCTTGCGTTGTATCGAAACGGTACTTGTTCGAATCTCGATGAGTCACAAATATAGGACGAAACGGCCGTCCAAAGCTTTCTGCATTCTGTTGAGGTTTCTTCTAGACTCGATGAATTATTATAAGGATTTGCCTAAATCCCCCAAGTTCTATTACCTGTATATATCCTTGCTTGACCCAGCTAATGCTCTGCAATGGAGTGGTTCGGGGGAAAGGAAAGAGGTGGCTCTTGGGGCACAATCCTTTTGGTTATGAATATTTGGATGAATATCTCCACGGAATTTGTGAGTAGCGGCGCTATATTGAGTCTATTCAGTTAATTCTTTATCACCGAGCACTGTTGGTACAGTTGGTATGACGCTGGCGTTGTATCGAAATGGTACGGGTTCGAATCACGGTAGTGGACGCTCACTACTGATGACTCCCGAAATTTGGACGAAACAGCCGTCCAGTGTATTCTGTTGAGGTTTTTTCTAGATTCGATGAATTACTGTAATGATTTGCGTAAATCCCACAAAATTCCATTACTTACACACACATATATATATATATATATGTACAGACACACATTGGGTGCGATGGGTAAATTGTCGTCATCTTATATTTTTACTTTTGTGGATGTGCGTTGATTATTTTTGATTTTGTCGACTGCACAGTATAGTAGGGTCAGTTGGGCACCATCTGTGAGATAAAGACCACTCTGCCAGAAATTTGGAAATGCTATGTTGTACTGCTTTCTATTCACGACGGAAGATCCAGTACGAACATTTCAGAATGTTTGGGTGTCAATCTTCAGACAGCGCAGAGGATTCCGAAAGAGCTGGATTAGTCTAATCGTGATTACGAAGGCGTTTGGAGTGATCACTAGCGATGGCGACGTTATGCCTGTATTCATCTTTCCACAGTTTCTTAGACTCAACACGAAGGCCTACTTCAAGTGCCTTTTTTCAATCTTCCCATTCTCTTTCACTTTCAAACCCTGTTACCAACTGCGTTCAAGTGGCATTGTCACCTTGCTGGCGTTGAAACGATTTAAAAAAAAAAGAAAAGAAAAAAATGTCCGATAGTTACTATGATCTGACACGGTACATGTCTTGGCTGTTCCCGCCATAGCATACTTCGGGTGAATGATATTGCTATAGTATAATTCAACACATGATATTCATTCTGTTACATTAACTCTGCTCCACTTACCAGTGCAATTTTAACATTGCAAACACTAGCCCGCGCTGGTTCTGCTTCTCCTTTCGTTAGT